AAGACCTAGGACACAAGCAAGATGAAGCATAAGGCAACCAGGCTGGAGGGTTCACCTCTGCCAGGACTATCCTGAATCATTGGTGATGCTGAGATCTTTCATAGAGTCCTGTAGCTCAGTGGTTAGAGCACTCGCTTTGCAAGCGAGAGACCTGAGTTCAATTCCAGACAGGGCGAAACCTTGGGCAAGTTTCCTTACTCACACGCCTAATAATAATCCCTCAAAAAAAAAAACCAAAACAATAATTAAAATTGGTCATTTTCAATCTACGACTGTTTGTGGGACATTGCTGTGCGCAATTGGCTGCCGCGTTCGCCCACAAATATACAGTCAATTCACTTTACAGTGTGTTCTGTGAAACGCTTTGGGACGTTCTCTCGACGTGAAAAGCGCTATATCAAATGCAAGGATTATTATTATTATAGGAGGAAATGTCCAAATGCTTCACTTTTTTTATTATAAAAACGAAACATTCGACTCGTTTTCTTTGCTCCTGTGCAAACCGCTGCCTTGAATTACTATTGTGAGCGAAGGTTGAGATTTCCAGGGTTACTGGATCAAATTTGACATCTCCTGTGTTATCCCTAAAAGCAGGTTTTGTGATCGCTCCCAGCACAAATGGATTTTATGCTTTATTGGATACGGGCTGAGCATAAGCCTGGTCACACAGACCGTGGACTGTAGCATTCACTGGATGTGCTCTGGGAGCTAAAATGACAACCTTTTCCTTTGTAGCTTTTCAAATCATTGCAAACAAAGAAGAGAATAGAGCAGTGAATTGGTCACTGACTCTCACACAAACCCAGTTAGCACTCAGTTACCAGTGCCAATACTGTACAAGATTTGCTCAACATATATTTTGCCCACAAAATATACAATCGATTCACTTTGAGACGTCTCGAAAACGTGATAAGTCGCTACATCAAATGCAAGGATTATTATTATAACATTCCTTGTCTGTGAGTTTCTGCACAGATTAACAGTGTACAAACATTTCCTGTCAAATGTTTTGTGTTTGTCTGTAAGCATTTTCATTCATGTTATTTGAGCCCATTTTAACAAGTCAATAATTTGCTCATCTACAAAATAGTCACTATCTTTAACAGTAATTCCTATGAAGGAACAGTGATAATGCATAGTACGATACAATGGTATTATTTCCTCTAATGAAGACAGAAATGGACTTCTTTGTCTTATCTGCAAAGAACAGAAATGTTCCTGTGTTTCTCAACGTGCCCAGTTCACAAGAATAAAAGGGGCTGGGTTTAAATGGAGATGTGCCCAACACATGTGTTTGTATTGACAATACCGCAACATATTGTCATTATTGCTTCAACACATTGAGCAACAGTATTTCAGGGAAAATATATTTATTTAATAATACTCCTTGCATTCGATATAGTGCCTTATCACGTCATTGAGATGTCTCAAAGCGCTTCACAGCATATATTGTAAAGTGGATTGACTGTGTTGTATTTAGTGGGCAAAATGTGGCAGTTCAATTGCACACATCTCAGCAGTGTCCTACAAACAGTTGTGGATTGAGTGACTAAATTTTTTTTTAAAAAAGGGACTATTACCCTCGAAAGCTATCTGCCCAATCGACTAACAACCGGGTTCCTATTTAGTGCTAGTGAAGCAGGCGTGTGGAGTAAGGAAACTTGCCTAAGATTTCGCTCTGCTCGGGAATCAAACCTGGGTCCTCTCGCTTACGGGGCGAATGCTCTAACCACTACGCTACAAGACTTTCAAGAGGTCATTTGTTAGAACCTTTTGTTGGTGACAGGCTACATCTCAACAGACAAAATGATCCAAGTGTCAGCAAGTCAGTAGTTAAAGGCTGCAGAATATATTCTACAATTATTACCGCCACTCTTGCCACAGAACTGAAGCAACAAGAAAATAATCCAATGCTGGAAATTAAGAAGTCAGATCTTCATTGGGGAACCTTTTTGAACAGAAGTGGTTGATATTTTGTGCTAAGTTTTGCACTTGAGTCTGAACACCGTCCAGCTGTATCAATAGCAATGTGTCTTGAAGGCATCATAACAGCTGGCAAGTGTTCACTTGATTCTCAATTAATATGCACAGTGCCACCTTCCACAGGCACTGAGGTGAGAAGTGAATACAAATAAGAGGCTGTAACACACTGACTGGTTATAGCACCTCCATGCTTTGTTGCTGATTAATCGATCTCGTCCTCTGAACATAACTCAGCTGAGTTAGCTCCAGGCAATGGTAGGATTTTATTGAACGCTTTATTGTTCTTCTGCGAAGGACTCACCCCTGCACAGCAGTCCGTGTGTGTTCTCTTCATCCATCACCCGGTCCGCAGTAGGGTCAAATAATAACACGCCAGTTTTTAATAAACATCAGTATACGTGCTTAGAAACATTTCATGTCACATCGATCGCAAAAGTAGGGCTGAAAATCAAAATGGAAACACTAAACTTCAAAAGTTCCAAAGTTTGCTTTTTATTATTGGCGAGTTTACCCATCGCTTGCTGGTAATTAATTGAAATGTCTCAATCGAACGACGTTACCAGAGTTCCCTGGCTGAAGGAGCGATACCAGCGAGATGGGAAGAGAGCTGACCGGCAGAGAATGAAGATCTTCCTATACCTGTCACAAACACTGCTGGTTCCCTGCGGCATTGCGAGAGGCCGCTGTGGTTCGTTGTGGCTCACTCCCCTCACGGGGGGTACCCACTGTCACCGGCAAAGGGCAGAGCGACTGGAGGAGGCTGAAGCTGATATGACACCCAGCAGGCTGCACCTGTGCAGTGCCTCGCATCCCTCTGGTCCCATCCATCTGCTGCACATGCTCACTGACCCCTCCGCTCTCAGCTGCTGTAAGCTTTCCGATTAGCCGCTATCACTGTTCTTTCTGCAGGAACAGCAGAGAGAAAACACAACCTCACAAGCTCTCGGAACCAGTTTGTAAATGTTACTGAGGAGAAGCTCCAACAGGACTGTGGAAGGTCCAACGCTGAACACTTCATTTGGGGTTCAAGAACAACAAATTGCATATTTATAGTGCCCTTCACTGAGAGCGTCCAGGTCTCTGTATTGTCTCAATAATCCTTGTATTTGGTCGTGAATGTCACTTTGGGAGGACGTCTCAAAGCGCTTCACAGGATATAACGTAAAGTGCAATAATCGTGTTTTGTAGGTGAAACACAGTGGCTAATTTGCCCACGGCAACATAGCATACATAGCGATGAAGTGAATGACCGATTTTATTGGGTGGATAGTTGGCCAGGACACTGGACAGAGAGACTATGAGATGCTCAGTTATTGAATTTAGCTGTTTTTTGGGGGAGAAACTGTATTCACATCACATTCAGATACAATAAAAAAAACATTTTTTTGTATGCGACACATCAAGAATTTTCTTTAATTTGCACAACCAGAACCAGATAACGTTGTCTTATTTTATTACCTAATAGGATTTGAAAGAATAATAATAATCCATGCATTTGATATTGCGCCTTATCACTTCGTCGAGATGTCTCAAAGCGCTTCACAGGATATATTGTGAAGTGAATTAACTGTATAATTTGTGAGTGAAACGCGTCAGCCAATTGCGCACAGAATTGTCCCACAAACAGTCATGGATTGAGTGGCCAAATTATTATCATTATTTTTGTCACGCAGCGTGAATCTGCATCAGAAGTGTTGACGTTAGGAGCCCAGGACCAAATTACCAATAACAACAACAGTTTGCATTTATATAGCGCCCTGTAAGGCTCTCTATCAAATGCATGGATTATCATTATTATTATTCAGAGCTCACAGGTTACGATGACTGTTGATGAAGCTCAGTCCACTGATGTCTGAGGTGACAGGCCTGGAATCAGACTCAAGCTGCTCAAAAGAGGTGCAGTGTCCATTCAGGGCAAATGGACCACACGCGCCTTTGATTTCATCTGAAGTGTGAAGTGTCACGGGTTGTGTTAGAGGAAGCCAGCGCGTCCAGTCTTGCTTGTCATGTGTGAGGACACGGCGCTGTTTAAATGTAGATTTACTCTCCCACTGGTGCTGACACTATCACACTGCTCTTCCAGTGTCAGTCTCTGACAGCGCCTCCTGATTAAACCATGCATGTGTAACTTGCTTAAGGAGACGCTGTGTAACACAAAGACCTGGTGAAATAGGTCATTACAGCCCTGCAGGGATGATTATAGCTAACTAGAACATATACACTGTGGGTCAGGAAGTTTCAACACTTTGAGAGTCAGGAAATTTCAACGCCTTGATCTAGTTCTTATTAATAAAACACATATTAAAAGGTACAGAAGCCTCAAGTGTAGCTTAACTGGGTTTTTTTCTCCGAAATGTTGTCCGTAGCATTTTCAAACGGGGGCGGCCAACTTTTAAGCAGGTCCTTAAACGCCTAAGTTTTGAAACCGTCTTTCTACTTTGAATGAGTTTAAGAACTACAGAAAACAACAACACGTTACACGTTACATGTTACGTGTCTTTCACGTTGGGAGGACGTCCCAAGGCTCTGGACAGTCAGGGCTTTGGACACGAGCAAGGGGTTGGGATCAGGAAGAGTGGAGGGCTGGGAGAGTGGAGAAAGGAGGGTGACTAAAGGCATGGTCGAAGAGGAGGGTCTTGAGATGGGTCCTGAAGGAGGCAATGGAGGGGTCGAGGAGAAGGGACTGGGAGATAGAAATTCCTGAATTCAGCAATTTGAGAAATTCTGCCCACTCTAAAATGTTACTTTAGTGGAGTAAATCTAGACCTGGGTGAAATTTCTTCCCTTTTGTCTGTATAGGAAGAGAATGGATTAGTTTTTTTTTAGGTGGGGTTGAAGATGAGGGTCTTGAGGCAGGTCTTGAAGGAGGCAATTACGTATATCTCGCCCCCTACACATGGAAATATCCCTGGTCCCTAATTTTGCAGGATGAGTAAATACGCAAGAAAGTAAAAGCCTCCATTATACTTTGAAGCGACTTCATGTCTGTGAGGTTTTTTGTGTGTTGTTGAACGCAGGGGCCACCAAAGACATGGGAAAGATGCTGGGAGGTGATGAAGAGAAAGACCCAGACGCGCAGAAAAAAGAGGACGAGAGACAGGAGGCTCTCCGACAGCAAGAGGATGAACGTAAGCAGAAACATATCCGAATGGAGGCCGAGAGGGAAAAAGTACGGCAGCAAATAAGAGATAAGGTACAAAAGCTTATTTCTCCCTTCACTGACAAGCCAAACCCACAGCTAAAGTTGTCTGTTTAGATCAGAGTGGTTCAACTGGTGGCCCACGAGCCGATTTCATCCACCCTTTCTCCTCACCCCCTCCATTTCGTTCGGCCGACCCACTCTCTCCACACCTACTCCATCTGAGAAGCTACTGGAAGTCCAGCTTCACTCCTCCAAACCACGCTTCGGCCACGAGAGAGAAAATAGCGGAAAAAGAAAACATTAGTTTTAACACCTTATCTGTCGCGCAAAGCAAATCTCAGACCTGTTCTGTCAAATGCAGCAGCTCTTTAACGATTACAATGCCTGGTAAAATCTGGATTACATTTAGCTAAAGAGGTGGACACACCGCATGCCATTGGTGAAGCGCTTTGAGGCGTCTCGAAGACATGATAAGGAACTATATCAAATGCAAGGATTACTATTATTATTATTATTATTAAAGTCGCACATAAGGAATTGATCTGGCATTGATCCAATCACTGAGACCTCAGTCTTACATGGCTGTGTGCTTACACTTTGATATCCTGTTTTGGGGGCATTTGCTACATTAGCACGGAACTAAAATGCATGGAGTTAGCATTGCGAATGGAGTTACTCCAATCTGCATGAGACGCAGCCCTGTGTTTGCCAGTCCTGATTTTCAATGAGGTTTCCTCTGGAACTGATTACAGGCTGGGGCTCAGATTGGAGAACGAAGACTCAGCGATATTGTGGCTTGGCCCCATTCTGGTCAGTTTCCTGCTGCTCAGACACACAGTGAACCATGGCTCCTGAGAATTATTTCATTTTCCACCTCAACGGGCGCTTCTCTTACTAAGTCAAGGGAAGGATTCTTACCTCCACACTGGACTTTCACAGTGTATAAGAGAACAGCTGACAAAAACATGCAATGGGCTGCAAGTCAGGGCCGTGTTTGACAACAGTGTTCACAATGAAAAGGAAGAACAAGGATAATATTGGCATTCATTAGAAAAGAGTAGCCCACACATATCAGAATGTCGCCAATCAGATCAATCTGAGGAGATAGGCCGTAGTTATTGTATTTTCTTTTATACTGTCAAGGAAAGAAACAAAGATATTACTTTCTATTATCCCAAGACATTTCTTTCAAGAACAAATGCGAGGTACTACTGAACCTTAAGCTCTTGCAGCTGTGAATTTCATTCAAAATCAATGTTATCTCCAATCTTCAATAACCTGCTCGGTGACAGAGATAGACATCTTGCAGAATTTTGAAAGCTCTCATTGTAGCCTTTCACTCCTGTGTTGCATTAGCTGAAATGCTCTAATCTGTATGCTTGTGCCTTAAATATCCTGGGTTACCTATAGAGGCAGGCAGCAGATACATCTATTTTCTTACCCTTTTCTGGCCTGTTGTTCATCTGTCACTTGCGAATCCAATGATTAATCAACTGAACATTGACCCATTCAGATTCAAATCATCAAATTGGATTGTAACCTTACACTTTTTCCCTCTGTCTTTGCTGAATTCCTGAAATATGTTTAAAATCTCGAGCATAGTCCTGGCAGGATAATCAGAGTTATAGTTTACTGGAACTCTCTCCCCAAATCCTTCCAACTCACACCTTCCCTCTGGGTTTTCATTAAGTTTTCGACCCATCTCCTCCACCCCCTCCCTCCTCCACCCCCGTGCCTTCAGTCACCTCTTCCCACCATTCCCCCCTCTCTCACCTCAGTCTCTCTGAAGCTGTGTTATCCTGCGTGAAAGGCACTGTATATTGTTGACAAGCTGGCTCAATAAAACATTCCCAAACTACATTGCAGCGCTCCAGTGTGAGGGGCGATATATAAATCCATTTCCTCCCTCCCTCTCTCTCTCCCTCTCTCCCACACACACACACGCTATCTCATAATTACCCCTTCACATAGACTTGCACGACCACAACTCACTCTATCCGTCCACATTGTTGTTTGTGAACGTTGTAGTATTGTCACTAGACTGAAGGAGTTAGAATTGTTCATTTGCTAATTGGATAGCAACTGGCGCTGTGCCCTATTACTGTTGCCAGTGTTCCAGTCAACTGTGTCTTTGACAAACACACAGTTCAATGCTAATTTCCAGATTTATTATATCAGTGTCTAGTCCCATCTTACATTGCAGTGTCTAGTTCCACCGCAACAAAGCTGGCACGCTAACCAATGCGGCAGCACATACATTTTTCCCCTCCCAAAATACACTGTCAATAAATCCATTTTACTGTATATTCTGGAAAGCGCTTTGAGGCATCTCAAAGACGTGATGAGGCGCTATATAAGAATTCCTTCAAAAAAATAATAATAATGATTTGGTCGCTTAATCCACGACTGTCTGCGGGATGCAGCTGTGCACAATTGGATGCCGCGTATCGCTCACAAAACATACAGTCAATTCACTTTACAGTATATTCTGTGAGGCGCTTTGAGACGTCTAGAAGATGTGATAAGGCGCTGTATCAAAGGCAAGGATGTTTATTGGTATTATCCATTGTTCTAGCTGGCTCCTGATGCTTGCTTTCATTACATTACAGTACGGACTAAAGAAGAAAGAAGAGAAGGAAGCGGAGGAGAAAGCTGCGATGGAGGCCCCAATAGAAGGCAGCTTGACTCGTCCAAAGAAAGCGATACCTGCTGGCTGCGGTGATGAAGACGAGGATGAGGAAGAGAGCATTCTCGACACTGTGCTTAAGTACCTTCCCGGCCCCCTTCAGGACATGTTCAAGAAGTAATTGAACGGGGTGGGGGTGGGAGGGGTGGGGGGTGGGGGCGGGAAAAATGCTTTATATTGTAAATTATTTTAAGTTCTTAGGGTTTACATATGTTTTGACCATATTCAAAATGAATTTCCTTTTTTCTCTAACTTGAGTAAAAACGCTTAAAAAAAACTCCTATTGCAATATACTTACAAACAATTTTTTGTGCCTCTCTATGATGTAAGCCATGGTGAGGAGGGGGGGGGGGGCTGTGATTGAGCATGGAGTCTGTGAGACCTTCCGGTCTCGTGTCAACTTCTAATTGCCTCTGTTATAGAGTTCACATGTGCTCGCGTAATATTGAAACTCTCAACCTCACGACTTGGCAGTATTAATTTGTCTTCAACTGTTGAGCTTTTCTTCTGTATTGCAGACTTTTTTTGGAGGTTGCCTTTTTTCAGTTGCCATATTGGTAAGTGTGCTGTAATGTGACTTGGTCGTTGGCTATTGCAGGAGAACTTGGGGTTGGCATGCAGCCAGGCACCCTGTGTCGTTATGTGTTTAAGATCAGACAATTTTCACCATGATTTCTACTGAGATTTTTAAAAACAAAAGTTTTATGCAGTCGTGATTTTTTTTGGTAGCAAAATCCTTGCATGGTTTGCTAAAAATAGTGAATCTGTGCAATGTTATTATGGAGATGCCTTTCTTTTAATGAAACAGCAATTTGCGATATGAGTTGAGGTTTGTTGTTGTGAAAAAAAATCTTTATTTTTTTTGAGGGGAAGCTTTCTCTCTCTCTGGTTCAATATACAAAAGGTAGCAGTGTACAGTAATGCCTTGTATTTTCACAGAGGAAATATTTGGTTAAAAACAAATTCAATTTAATCCCAATTCTATGTTTAACACTGACGATTATTTATGCCAAACTTCAGAGTGAACAGAAATGCTCATTTAATCCCTCTGTCTTCACACACGACAAAGTTGAGATGAAACAAGGTTTGAAGCCTTTTCTATTCATTCACAATATCCAAGTGACAGTCGCCTTTCTCTGTGTTTTGAAGGAAATCTTTAATAACCCTGACTTTCATCAATAAGCTACTTTTAGTGGAATCCTCTTTATTAGAGCCCCTTTGTGTTATCCTGAAATGAACACCTCCCGTTGTTTAATAGTCTTAACAACAAAAAACAACAAAAGATCACAACGTGTTGACAAAGTTAATGATTTTTTACAAATCACAACAGGACCAATGACTTGTCATAGCACGAGATTGTGACAAATCCTCAGTTTTTTGGGGAAAAATACACACACACAAATTGCTGCCGAAACGGCTGTAAACGGCAGCATTCTGTTTCCTATCACTGCCATGCAATGTTCTTGCTCCCAGTGCCGTCTTGTGCCCAGCTTGCCCACTGCCTAACCCACCCACCCCCCACCCACCCACCAACTATTGCCAGGCCAGGTTAACGTGTTGTGACTTAACCTACGTCCGTGCGTGCATTATCTGCCCAATTGCTCACTGCAACCAGGTCTCACTGTTCCCATTGAAAGCCTCTGTGGCCTAAAAGATTCCCTATTAACTCTGTCGAACCTCCTTCTCGGTGCTGTTGGACTGGCCTTTGGGGCTGCTGCTTATTATAAAAGGTGAAAATCAGTTATCATGTGCAATATTATATTAATAAATCCCATTGGAACCCCCCCCTCCCCCCAACGCACTGTAGCAGATGGCAATTACACGCACAAGTCCGTGTGATTTTTCACTCCTATTCCCACAGAATGTTGGCCTTTTCTTGCCACCACAGCTAAACAGAGTAATGGACTGGCCTGCCGTTATTAATATGAAGGAAATCTTTTATTGGCCCTGTTTTGACTTTTTCTAGCCTTGATTTAACATTTTTATATATTTGGAAGTTTTTTGAAGGTTATTGTTGCTTTGGTTACTTTTTCGTAACAACTATTTCTATTGTAGAGACCAATTTTCTTGCACAAAGTGTTCTGAAACAAACTTATTAGATGTAAGAGCAGGAGATATTCCACATTCCGTTACATACACACTAAAATATTATATAATATTGAGCCCCCGAAATTGCACAAATGCGTTTGTTTGTATTGGAATTTCTACTCGGTAATGAATAAATTTCCCCCACCATTTAGAGGTGCCTACCATCACAGTGCAAAGCTTCATTATATACAGTAGTGTAATTAGACATTTGGTAAGTGAAGAGACAAATTTAAAAAAAACATTCAATATAGGTGAATTTTAGAATGTATTCTAACTTCTATTCAATACAAGATACAAATCCCATTAATTATAAGGTCTTCTATTATCAATCACTCGCCCATTATTTTACTAGTTTGATTAAACCTACCTGAATAGTTGGATCAGCTATTCAGATATCTCGGTTTGCTCGCGATTCAATAGCAGTGCCACAAATGTTTAGCACTAATGTGCTCCTGTTATTACTATTTGAAATGCTACCCCAGAATGAAACTAGGAATGATTATCAGTCTTTGGATTCTGGCATCGGCTGACTTGTATTGTGAACATTTGAGTTCTTTTATAGTCGATTTTGCTGCTTGCAATAGCTCGCTCAGTGTTGAAACCTTTAATGAGTTTGAATTGTTTAATAGTGGTGTATCTATCACCTGCATTTCATTTGGCGTCAAACCAAAGAGAATCGTTCTCTATGGATATCACTAACTTAATTGCTTCCCATGGCATAAAACTAGTTTCAAATTTAGATGAGAATTAGTTTAAAAATCTCAGGTATTGGTTCTTGGATTTCAAACCACTATGCAGGAGAGTTGCTTGTGTTTGTCTTGCGCTAGCTGTTATTGCCCGCCACAGTCCTGTCAACACAAACCAGGACTCCAGTCAGGAGAATCCTAAGTTAATGTTTGAAGTTAATTTAGGGATTTGAAGTTTCTTCAGTTAAAACTCTATTTCAATAGTTAAAGCCATATCAGTTAGACTGCAATACTGAAAAGGAAAAATTGAAAGGAAATATCTTTTTCCATAAAGGAAGAGTGTATTGAATAATTTATACTTAAAGCCACAGTGGTCTGTCTACGTGTGAATTGAAACATGCTGTCGAAACATCAGTCTAGTTTGGAACCGTCTCTGTAACAGGGTATTTCGCTTGAGCTCATATTTCATTCTCATTGATTATATGATAGTTACATTCGCTGAACCATTTGGATGTGTGACTTGCTTTTAATGTTATTTCAATGCACAACACAATGGTACACACAGATGTATGTATTTATTCAGAATATTTACGAAAGCCATGCTTGTTCTTCTGATGTTTGTAACACTCCAATTACTACTCACTAAGTTGTAGAGGGAATACATGTACAGAGTTGTGTTATCTTTACTACAAATAACTTAAAGTAAAGTTGGCACAAGGTTAAAGATAATAGAAGCTGAACACTGTCAACCTTATCGCCAGTTGGTGTGCCTCTACTTTTTGATAGAGCAGTGTACTCAAAGTCCTTTCTTCTTTAAAGCAAATCAAGTAAGTATCGGTTCAGTGTGATGCTTTAGAAAGAGCTAAATAGACTTATTGTGTAATTTTTCACCACATACAGGACACGTTGTGAAAGTAATTTTGTTATAAACTTGAATGACTTCTCTCCTATGATTTTTACTGTGCCATTTTCTATAGCTCTTTATCTGATAAAAGTATAAAAGCAAATAAAAAAGGTAAGGTTGAACGTGTTCAGTCAAGTGACTTTTTTCCACAGTAAAACTAGGGGAACATTAACCTCTCGCAGCTCAGCAAAGCTTTAAATTTTGCCGCTCTGATTCTCAAGAATGTAAAACTGTGTTCATTCTGATAGAAGACTAACTTCACTGCATGTCATAAATGTGCAAATCGCTGTAGTATTGTCACAAACTGAATTCAGAATTCTTTAAAATAAAATGGTTTATAAAAACCTTCACTGTGTTTTGTTTAAATAATCTCGAGTTTTGCAGCAACGTAGATTAATTCTGTGTCTCCTATCTCCTGACACCCATCCGGTGGCAAGGCAACAACAACAACAACTTGCATTTATATAGCACCCCTCATGCAAGGTAGAGTCCCAGAACGCTTAAGGCGAAAACACACCAGATGCTTATAACTTGGGACATCCTCCCGACATAAAAGGTGCTACATAAATGTAATTTGCTGTTATTGTTATAAAGCCCAGGTTACATGTTAAACACAATTTATTGGCCGTGTTCCTCCGGTGACATGCCACAGCTTACCTGGAACACAAGCCAGTCAGTGATTACCATGGACTATCTGCCAATCTCCTGGTAGAGTTATTATACATTCAATCCCTTTGTTAAACAGGCATCTATCCAGTTCTTTTTGAATCAACGCAAGGTTAGATGTTTTCACTGTCAGTCCGCTTTCTACTATAATAATTCCACATTACAGTCTGTGTCTTTTGGTAAATAATCAGAACTACACTTAACACCCTACACTTGTTACTTGACCAAGACTTGGTTTTCCATGTAAAAGGTGTGCTGTACAGAGGGCAATCTACTCCATTCACCCACTTGTACATCACCCATTTTGGTCTCCTTCCACACTCGAGATCGATTTCCTATTCAATTCTCCAAATAGTGCCTCTCCCTCATCTGTGCAGTATTTACAATGCTAAATCGAATAACACGCTGTGAGATCAACAGGGCAACCAAAAAGTCGGGCTATCTACCCCACTGTCTAAAAACAAAACAAAAATATCAATCATTTCTTCAAGACTTATTAGACATTGTAATGTTATCACGACTTTTTGGTCACCGTGTATTTCTAATGGTAATATTATGCACATTGCAACAGTTGAATTATTTGTGGTGCAGTAATACAGTACATTAAACCTGGACTCACTATATTAATTATCATGTACGAACTGCAACACAGTCATTATTTCGCGCATTCATAATTTCTGCTACTGGTTTGGAAAAAAAAGCACATTGGAAAATACAATGGAAATTGACCCAACTCGGTTCATAAAATCACAAGCCCTGAGAATGACATTTGAGAGTCAGAAGGTGAAGAACATTGAAGGGTGATAA